TTTTAACGTCAAACTTTACACGTAAATACGTCAAATTTTAACGTCAAACTTTACACGGTAAAATACGTCAAATTTTAACGTCAAACTTTACACGGTAAAATACGTCAAATTTTAACGTCAAACTTTACACGGTAAAATGCATCAAATTTTAATTTCAATCTTTAATAGTTTAACTTCAAAACGTGGCCAATTTTTATTTTTGATTTATTTTGAATTAATTTTATGATTGATATCATTTTTGGATTGCGTTCTTTATGTGCATGCAATAATGTAAGTGCAGAAATGAAAGCAAAGCATATTTTTATGGGATAATTATTTCTTTTCTTTTTTTTTTAATTTGAAGATCAAAGACTATTCTAAAGATCAAAGATCAAAGATTATTTTCGTACTACCAACGATCAAAAAGATGATTCCAATTAGACATTTCTTGTTTTTGTACGAGAAAAATTTCACTTTCTATTCTTATAAAATTATTTTCAAGCAAACTTTTTCTCACTGATTAATTAAACAAATTAATTAACCGGTTTTTTATTTTGCTTTTTAGACTATAGAACCAAAACCCACTACATCATCAGATTTATCATCCACTATCACTGATTGCAATGATTCGAAAATGCTACCATCAACACGAATTGAGGGTGATTTGAAGATTGTTAAAGTTAATAAATGCAGTGATACATATCTTGTTAGTGTTTCATTCTTTTCTCACAAAAAAATTACAACTTCTTTTTTTTTTCACTCCGAGAAATTAAATTGGGATAACAATCTGATAAATAATGAGTAATTTCAGGTGAATAATTCAGGTGATAAGATATAAAAGACAACGAAAATATTACCCTCTATCATGTTTACTAAAAATAATAACTGCAATAATCTTATCATATGATATGATAATTTATGTTTATTATCAGATAACTTATTCCAAACTTAATTTTTACTAGCCTAATTTTACAATCGATTTGTAGTACGTAGAATGGATTACATTTTTTTTTTTTGTAGTGTCGTTTTGTCACATTACACCTCACAATCGTTCATCCAAATCATTCATCATTTATCGAAATAATGACTCTACACAACAATTATCATTTCAAACAATCAATTGCTTTCATTATTTACAATTACATCATTATGCAATATTATATTTATAAAGAAAAAAAAGTTTTTAAAAATTTTTAAAAAATCATTTCGAATATAATTTCAAATATATTTCAAATATTTGCATTTATTTCTTAAAAGGGTGCAACAATTCGAAATGAAGGTGAAAAAGTGATTATTGGACGTGTGGTACGTGGTGGTATGGTGGAAAAATCAAATTTATTACGAGAAGGTGATGAACTTATTGAAGTTAATGGAAATGATTTACGTGGTAAGAGTGTCACCGAAGTTTCTGATATTTTGGTAGGTATCAATTTATAAATATTATTTCTTATATCATTACATTTCAGGAAAATAAAAATGAAATATTTGAAATTTTAATAATAATTTTAATTAGATGGAGACAAAAAAGCATTTATTTAGATGGAGACAGAAAGTATTGGTAAGAATTTGAAAGATTTTAATTTAAAAAAATTTAAAAACTTTTTTCCTTTATGTAAAACTTTAAATGGATTATATATAGCAAGCACAATCTTAAACAACTATTTGAATAGCTTAAATTCTAAATAAGAAAATAAGATAAAATGTTTGAAATATTAATTTATCGTTTCATATTTAAAATTTAGTTTAAAGTTTTTTGGATGAAATAGATATGAAATAATGAAAAAATTCAAACTTTTTTAACTTTCTTTGATGATATTAAAAAAATTTAATTCAAAGTTCTTTTTTTCTTTTTTTTGAAATGAAATAAAAGTAAGATATAAAGATAGAGTTGAAATTTAACATGAAATCAAATTTTAAGAGATCAATTTCGGGTGAATTATCACTTATGATAGCACCATTGGATAAATCAAATGATAATTCTCAAATGCAATCATCAACACAAATTAGGCATTTTCGAGCACTTTTTGATTACAATCCTGAGGTAAGATAAATATTTTAATTTATTTACCAATGAAAATTTGTTATGTGAAAGTAATGGGAACACGTGAAAGTAATGGAAAAACGTGAAAGCGTATTTCTGTACAAATGTCTTTTTTGCGTATATCTAATGGGAATACGTGAAAATAATGGAAAAACGTGAAAGCGTATTTCTGTACAAATGTCTCTTTTGCGTATATCTAATGGGAACACGTGAAAGTAATGGAAAAACGT